ATTACTCCGCTCAGAGTACGTTTTGTTGGAGAGTTATTTCTCTAATTACTCCGCTCAGAGTACGTTTTGTTGGAGAGTTATTTCTCTAATTACTCCGCTCAGAGTACGTTTTGTTGGAGAGTTATTTCTCTAATTCCACGCCCTCAAGTTTATTATCACCAGCTGTCGTGTTATTTTGTCTTTTTGCTGGAATGTGTCGTGCTTGGGAGAAAAGGGGAAGGGGGAGGGGGAGGGGTGAGACGAGGTGGAGGGGGTGGGAGGGAGGAGGGGGGAGAGGGCAACAGTTCGCCACGTAACTGTCAACACTTTGACCCGAAGGACGTTTTTCTTTTCTTTTCAAGCCGCAATAGTGATAATATTATGTCATGAGTCTTTAACTCTGTAGTTTTTTACTCGCCATTTAATCTTAAGGTGACATTCAGGTCAGGAAATACAGACTTGTGGTTTGACTTACGGTATTGACATCTTTTTCCGAAATATCCGTCCTGACATTCGTTGTAGGAACATGTGCCGTCCTCGCTGCATCGCAACGCCTGCTGGTATCTGCAGTGACACGTGTACTCACACAGGGGGCCGAACTTGTTGGTCCGACTCGAGTCACAGTAACCCTCTGTGGAAACAAAGCAGAAATTTCTGGCATTACGTTAGATATTTCAACACTTATGAATAGGTAAGTGTCACGTATGATATGAATAAACATACTTTCCAAAACAATAGGTTTATATAGGATGCAGGCCTTAGAATTTTAACGTCCTTTTCCGATATTATAGAATCATGAACGTGCATTAAAAACCCCCCCAAAAACAACAAGATCGAGAAGGTCTTTTTGTGAATTACTCCACTATCGTAGTTCGCTTCGCCGTCACACACAGGAGGCGCGAGTTCGGTTCCTGTTTGGGGAGATCTTTATCGATGAACTCTGTTTTTCTACTGGTACATCGTATCCTTTCCAGCCTCGGTTAGCTCTAACAGGCAGGGTTGAAGAGACGCGCCCCGAAGTTATCTAAATATTATCAAATGGGGTGTAAAACCTCTACAATTATATCTTTAGTTTAAACAAGACTAGTGATTCGGATGGCCCAAGTTCAAATCCTTTACCAGGTTGCCATGAACTTGGACTGTGTAAGGATATTTTTCACTCCCCATCCCCTCTCCTGCCCCCCTCCTACCTTCCGTCTCCAAATCCTTTTGGTGAAGACGTATCTGAATAATAACATCGTTCTGTCCTGTTGCGGCCAAATTGACTTGCCGTAATTTGAGTCTTTAATTGAATTTACTCTCGTTTATCCCATTTTTTCAAATATTACCAAACATTTCAAGTGGGTGGTTGGCGAGTGCTCTGGCGTGGTTTGCTCCTTCTTTCCTATCAAATACATATTATCAGTACCCCCTCTAATTTTATTGTGTATGTTACTCTCTTGCAACACCTCTAATCTTCGGCACTTATTATTATGTGGCCTAATTATGTTGCAAGTGCGTAAAAGTTTTGCAAAAACTAAACTGAAATATTTATATAGATTCTATGTATATAAAACATATTTTTTAAATTTTGCATTGCTTTCAATTTTTAAAGATATTTTTTATTTTCCAAT